CTTTCCCTGAATATTCTCAAAGCATCATTTTTTCAGTACCTAATTCTATTTAAAAATACTGTGGGAAGATTCTGAAAAGGATCTGGTCTTACTGGTTATTTCCTCCAACAGCAGAAAGGAAAATGGTGCAACGTTTGAGACACCTAACAAAAGATTCTGAGAACTTCCCAGACAGCTGCTACATCTGTGGCACTCACTTCTCATGTCCAAAGATCCACACAGCAAAGGCTGAAGAGAGTTCCAATTTGCCTTATTAGACCCATTCACAAATTTCCCAGGAAGACAAGGCTTTAATTCCTCACATTAGTTCTACGCAACAACAAAACATTCTGGAAAGAAGTCTAAATAAATCAAGATAATTTGGTATTATGCTAATTTGATTCCAGGGGAATCAATTACTGTGGAAAGAACCTGAATATTTCAGATTCCTAAAATCATTACTGTGCTTTACTGTGACAAGAACAGTCACATACAGCAGTGCTGTTTATTGCTCCTGAAAGTAATAATGCAAAAGCTTTATTTACATAAATAATCTTTAAAATCTGGTAAGTCACTTTTTGTTTCAAAAAGGAACCAACTAGATGATAATTAAAGTTTTCTACACCTCATTCTGACCCCAGTGACTTGGTTCTCATCCCTCTACTTGTGTTACACAGAGTTAAAGCTGTGGACACCTGAGTATTTCACACAGAGCAGTGCACCTACACAGCCAATGGATTATTGACCTGAGGTCTGAGTACAAAAATATTGTAACAATTGTCCACCTGCACTTCAGACATTATTATTAGCAACACCTACCCTGGCACAAGTTCTAAAAAATGGTTATTCTCAATGAAAAAGTTCCTTTTATGGCATACTGCACCTTTAAGCATAACACCTGTTTTGACACAAACAGTTTCAAATTGAACAGGGACTTGGGGAGGGACCACAAACTTTTAAACAAGAGGCAAAGTGCAAACACTGCTTTGTCACCCACTTTTCTTATGTCCTTTGTACTGCTGCGATTTAGCTTTTTTCTTCTGTTTGGATGAGCTGGACTGGCTGTCTCGTGAGGCTGCAAGAGAGTTAAGAATTCAAAATTCAAGCTTAGTGTTGGGGAAAAACACTGGAGAATATTTCAAGGCTTCTACACAGTTGCAGAATTTTCTTCTTAGTGACTGAACAAAGGCAGAAAAGCTTTATTGCGGAAACTCAACTTCCATAAAACTACTTATACTATTATTACCTTCTCATTAAACAACTAAGAGTTCTTGACATAGTTCTCCATTATTACCACTCGATCTACAGGCCAAGTCTTGATGCACTAAATAACACACAGCCTTCCCACAGAAATGCTGCTGCACATGAACACCTCTGCACAGGCTGAATCCACCAAATACAGTGTGCAAAGCAGATATATTCACATCTCAAAGCAAAATAAATTCCCAGTGACATCACCCAGAACTGACAAGTTACAGACTCTTCCCCTGTATCAACTAAGCATCTTCTGGCATTAAAAAACCCCAAGTAGATAACCACAGAAACACCCAGAAACACTTTCAAAGTCAAGGAGGGAGAGATTGAAACTGTGAATTAGAAGTCTGAAGCATTAGCAGGAGTTTGTTCTGTTTTTGTGATGCCTGAGGACCTAACGGGAAGAGGATGAGGTTAGGCAAATCAGCAGCCATGAGATTGATTTCCATGATTCACAAAGCACAACTTACACTGCGGCGCTGGAGGCTGTAGCTGATATCCAGTTAGCTGACACCATCCCACGGGATAGAGGTCTGGGGACTCGCAATCCACCCACTGATCATATTCATCTTCCCACCCATCAAAGTGTATCCTCAAAAGCCGATGGATAATGCGAGTTACTGTGGCCACACATACCAGGCGAGGTTCCATCAGATCAACAGCCTCCAGTTTCATTCCAACATGAAACCCATGGTTTGGAACTTCCTGGCAAACACAACCAAGGCAAACAGCAGTAAGGAATCACCTTAGTTCCTGTGGTTTAAGCAGTGTTGACTTCAGTCAGCTTAGTATGGAAAAAACCCCAAGTACCACTGATGAAGTTTCACGCAGTTATTTAACATTTCAGAGAGACTCAATGTTCATACACTCCAATGGTTCTTATTTCCATAAATCTGTTATCATAGAATCACAGAATTTAAGGGTTGGAATGGACCTATAGATCATTCAGTCCCAACTCCCTGCCATGAGTAGGGACATCTCACTACATCAGATTGCACAAGGCCAAATTATCTTAGCCTTTCAAACATGTACTTCATGAAAAGGGTCAATCCCATGCACTGTGCAAAAAAGGAATGAAAATAACTACAGCATAAACAAACATGTCCAGTGTTTATTACCTTATTGAAGAGCTTTACAGGTGCTGCTATTGAGTCAGTTTCCCTGAGGTAGTCAAACCATTTAAAAGGGAGTTTTGCATAACCTGTGAATTTCAAACAATATTTTCATACATCAGCTGCAAACTCCACACATAAGAACAACAAAAAATAGCAAACTGACCCTGTGTCAGGGCTAAAAAGACAACAGAGAAGTAAAACATTAACATCCGAAACTTCCACTCTCTGAGCTTTGGTCTAAGGGGTAAACAGTCGCCTGAACATTGCCCATTGCAACAAACAAGATGAATGAACTTCTGAATAATACAGAAAGTGCATTTAATATTAAGATTAATCATTCATACTGGAAGCTTTTTGTCCACGTAGATCCTTGATCTCTACAAATACCTCCACAAATGACCCAGAACAGACCATGTCATAAAGCACTCAGTGTCCTTCCTGTGGGGGAAGAGCTCCACTACTGCAACACTTGACTTGTTACAAACAGAGTGGTAAGAACAAACGTGGATATTCTAAAATTTAAATAAGAGTAAACCCAGCAGTGATATGGAAAATTACAGGATTTTAAAAGCTATTATAAAGAGAAGAAAATACTAGCTGAAATAGATGCAGTTTCTGCTGAATATGCATAAACCATGCAGGGATATTTGTTACTTGGGGTAACTTCTAGAACTGCTTAAACTAACAATTCCCTAATCCTAGCTGGAGCACCACCACCTTGGAAGAATTCTCTGTAGCAGTATGCAGTGCTGGACACCCCGAAGACTGCAGTGCAGTGGGCATGGCATGGGGAGCTGTGGGATCTAACCTATGTGGGGGCAGAGCTCCAACAGAGCCACAGCTCAGTGCTGCAGGGCCACACTCAGCATCCCCAGCCCAAAAGTCAGTCTCATTCTTTAAAGTGTCTGAGCATCTTCACCTGCTACTGACTTCAGCAAGAGATGAAGGTGTTTGGAAGGAATGAGCTTAGAAAGCCAACTGATTTCCCTGCAACTTTTTAAAGTTATGCACAATGCTAAATTTGGATAAGAGTGTTCACACTGGGTATGGAATATCTGTGTGAACAGATGTACCTGGAGAGTTAACAGTTAAAAGAGTAAGAGTGTCAGTTCTATATATTAATGCTTTGCTCTCAATGCAACTTTCCTCTGCTAGACCAATGTATCCATACTCAGTTCCTTTAACTTTTCACCACCCACGAATTGTGCACATGGGGCTTGTCAGAGCAGGCAGAATTAAGGAACTGTCCATTTTCCAGCCAATAATTTGAAAGCAGAATAGCCCTCTCAAGAGCTAAAAGGCTTTGATCAGTTTGATCCTATTAAATATGTTAATGTGCATTAAGTTCTGCATTTTCCTGCTGCCAATTCCTCTTTCAAACGACTTTTAGATGTCATGTGTGATTCAGAACTGCCTCACACTGATGTCACAGGATTGGTATGAAAAACTGCAATAGAAGGGAAAATGCACATGTAGATAAAAACTAAGGTGGTCATGATACAAAACCCACCTAAGTATCATAAATGTGCTAACAACAAAACCCACACACTACTGTGTAAGGAATGTTTGAAGAGTGAAGGGGTAAAGTCTCATCCCAGAAGGGAGTTTTCCTATCCTGCCTCATCAATTCCATGTATTTATTTCTACATTTATTGATACACATTGATATATAAGCTTCTTCCTCCCACAAAAACCCTGATCACAACTCTTGCACCATATATTTTTGATGGGCTCTGGTGCCCATGAATGTCTAGGCAATAAATTCACTAAAAGAGCTGACCAAAAAACCACAGTAAACCTGTTCAACTGCACTTTCCACACACTCAAAGGTGACAGTCATTAGTGTACGACAACAAAATGGCATGAAATTCTTTTCCTCGTGTTGCATTACATTGTCTTTGTAGTTATTACCTAGAAAAATAATTCAATCAACACAAATAGAAACCTGTAAGAATGAAGGGAAAAAAAAAATCCAGAGCAAACCATTGTCATCAGCTGTCACAGAGCTGGTTACAATCCCCTTGATAAATTGCCAGACCAAGACAATGAAATGGGAAAAGGAAGGCAAAGTCTGCTGGAGGCACATGTGCCAGTGGACAGATTTATCCTCACAGAAGGGATTAGGGCCCTACTGGCCACTTCCTCCGAGCTCAAGTTTGTGTATATTCCTCAAAAAAATTAACTGGTATTGCTGTGAATTAGCCTAAGCCTGAGATTCTTTAGTGTTCATTAATCCCTTTGCTGGCCAGGGTTTAACAAGCAACAACACATTCTGAATGGCCCTTTCAGTGACTTGATACTTCCCATTCACTGGATGGAATCCTCCATTTCTGACAGCAAATGCAAATTATTTCAGCCTGAGAATCAATCAGAAGCTCCATTTGATTTTTTTCTAAAAGACAATTTGGTTATCTCTGGTTTAGATTACTTCTAAGTAACACTGCTGTATTTGTTTCAGACTTGAGACAGGTCCTAGAAAGTGACACGAATTTTGTACACCGAGTCAAGAAACAAAGCATATGGCACATAACAATATCACTGAGAAAGAGTCAAAATAAAATGTGGTCAGAATGCTGTATGTACCTCTGGGTGGAGTTAGTTCAATCATGTTAATTTCACAGAAACCAACAGGGAAAATAGAAGGGGAAGTGGCATGGTAACAAAACCAATCAGACCCATCTGCTGCTTCTGAGCCATCAATCCCAATCATAAGATAGCCATCTGCTAACACCTTGGTAAAGAGAAACAAAATTTGACATTAAATACCTTGCACTGTGTGACAGGGCTAGAAAGCAAGCATGCCATGTTTCAAAAGAGTGAGTCACTCAATAATCATGGAAGCACAGTTAGAAGGACATTCAATTGTAACAAAACCAACCCCAAATCATACCTGTCTCCAGGACTGTGTGCACAACTGTCACATGGACCTTTGAGAGCTGCAAAGTTATGAGATGAGCATTTCCTTTTTCTGATCTCTAGTTTATTTTCCTTGTGAACATCAGCTCTACTTCTAAAGCTTTTTAACTCATCTACTCTTTAGCTTGCAAGGATATTCAGCACACCATCAAGAAGAAAAGACTCAGTATCATACCCACAATCCTCACTAGTAAGGTTAGACAATTCAGTTAGGTTACTTTTTACATTTTATTTCTCTTTTAACACAGATTTCACATAGTTGGGCTCCCTTTCCTTCAGGCTAGGAAAGAAGGACATCCTTAAAATGTCTTTGTGGGAGTTCTGCAAGTCAGCAAGATGAGGTTTGGTTTTGAACAACCAGTGGCAAAACACTTGGTATAATTAGCAGAAGGTTGTCCTGCAAATTAACCTCACAAACATATTCTAATTAAAGGTAAATATTTCCAGAGATTAAAGCCAAATTTACATGAGTATACTTTTCATACCAGTGGCATCTAAACAATTAGTGGACCTATCCCATAAACATTCACTGCATGAATAAACTGCACTGGTTTTGAGCTTTTTGTTTCAGTAAAGGTGAATGATGAAGGATTCCCATCTGCCTTCCCGAAACACACAGAAAGGTTTGTTTTCTTACCTTTCTGATAGTTGCCACACATATTGCTGAGAGGTTTAAGGGGTCTATAGCTTCCAATTTCATTCCTTCTTTAAACCATTCTCCAGCTGCATCAACCTCTTTTACCTAAACAATCACAGAATAGCACAAGTAGTGAAGCATTCAACAAGTCTAGAAGAAAACCTAATCCCACACTGACAAAGCAACAGACTGAAATACTTGTTATATCATCTCTGCTTCTGTTGAGGAGGCCAAACTAGCTAATAAAAGCAGCAATGCTTGTGCTGGGCCTAGTGCCAGGGACTAAGGAGAGTTTCAGGCCTGTTTTACACACACCAGGATCTAAAGCTCCTCAATCAGCCCTGAGCAAACAGTGTTCTGGCTAGCAAACTCACCTTCATAAATAAGTGTGGGGGTGCATCAAAATGTCCATCCTGTTTCTTTGTAAGATCTACAAGAAATCATAGCAGGTATTACTCAGGAGTTTTGTTAACAATGTTTTTTTCTGAGTATGTTAACTAATACCATGAAATAATTGGTGTGAGAGACCCACAGTTTATAGTGATACCACCACAAAAATTAAGAGGATGTAATTCATCTATTTTCCTTACTACCTGCAATGCCCCAACACCATCTCCGTTTGTGGAGAAAACAATACCCAGTATTTACAAGATCACTTGATTATATCACAGAATTAACACCAGAATACCTATATAAGCTTTAGCAAAAAAATTGGCAGATAAACAGCTTTTCACTCTACATTTATATACAGATTCTTATATAACTGCACATAATCCCTTTAG